GGAAGACGTTGCTCGATCGGGGACCGAGACCAGCGCCGACCCCAAACAGCATGTTCCGGAACTGCCACAACCGCCATCCACATTTCGCGCCGTTTCTGGCAGTCATGGCAATTCTGGTCCGTAGGCAGCCTTCCAGTCCCCCCCCCCCCCGAGGATTGAAATGACCTCCCCTGCCATCTCGGGGCCGGAGAGCCGTCTCGGGGCCACAGTGCCCAACACGGCGTGCCGGCCCGCAAATGACGCTCACCCGCCGGCGCTCGGGACCCGGGACGGCACTCGGGGCCCGAGACAAAGCTTGCGGCCCGCATCATGCCCGCTAAAAGGCCCGGACAACATAGAGCAGTTCGTAATCATGACGATAACCACTTGGGGGACCATGGTAAGCCGGGGAATAACCAGGCTTACTGGGCCCAACCCGAGACGCTGTTTGGCCCGAGTCCGACACACGCCCACTTGCTGGGGCACGACTTGTAAAGCTATTTAGCTACAACCTGCTTGGTGGACCTACAGCCCTAGTACAATTGGGTTTAACAACTTACAAAAACTGAGAGCCCGCGACGGCACTCGGCGCTCGAGACACCCCGAGCCCAGATTCGCTTACAGGGGCACACGACTTGACTCGGCGGGCATCCCGCGTCAAGCTCACCAGCGGCACCCTCACACCCCTTCACTTGAAGCTAGACCCTCATGCAGCTTTCAGCAACCTGAGGAAGGACTTGCAGCATTTGATGAGAACGATAAAGCAGACTCAGTTCTCTTCTCAAGGCTTCCGCTTCCCGGGCCCCCGAGGTTCCAGGCTTGAGCAAGGCGTCCACGGACTCCACGTCAATTCGGGCAAAAGGCCTGGCGCTGGAAGACCTCATGTTTTTGGCATGATGTTCTTTGTATGTACATAAGTATACAAGCATACAGCTTCATATGTATTCAGAATCATTCATTATTACAGTACATCCGTCGCCATCATACAGAAAAACACAACAACCAACCAACCAACCAACCAACCAACCAACCAACCAACCAACCAACCAACCAACCAACCAACCAACCAACCAACCAACCAACCAACCAACCAACCAACCAACCAAAACCAACCAACCAACCAACCAACCAACCAACCCAACCAACCAACCAACCAACCAACCAACCAACCAACCAACCAACCAACCAACCAACCAACCAACCAACCAACCAACCAACCAACCAACCAACCAACCAACCAACCAACCAACCAACCAACCAACCAACCAACCAACCAACCAACCAACCAACCAACCAACCAACCAACCAACCAACCAACCAACCAACCAAGAAGGAAGGAAGGAAGGAAGGAAGGAAGGAAGGAAGGAAGGAAGGAAGGAAGGAAGGACGGAAGGACGGAAGGACGGAAGGACGGAAGGACGGAAGGACGGAAGGAAAGGACGGAAGGACGGAACCAGGAAGGAAGGAAGGAAGGAAGGAAGGAAGGAAGGAAGGAAGGAAGGAAGGAAGGAAGGAAGGAAGGACGGAAGGACGGAAGGACGGAAGGACGGAAGGACGGAAGGACGGAAGGACGGAAGGACGGAAGGACGGAAGGAAGGACGGAAGGACGGAAGGACGGAAGGACGGAAGGACGGAAGGACGGAAGGACGGAAGGACGGAAGGACGGAAGGACGGAAGGACGGAAGGACGGAAGGACGGAAGGACGGAAGGACGGAAGGACGGAAGGACGGAAGGACGGAAGGACGGAAGGACGGAAGGACGGAAGGACGGAAGGACGGAAGGACGGAAGGACGGAAGGACGGAAGGACGGAAGGACGGAAGGACGGAAGGACGGAAGGACGGAAGGACGGAAGGACGGAAGGAAGGAAGGAAGGAAGGAAGGAAGGAAGGAAGGAAGGAAGGAAGGAAGGAAGGAAGGAAGGAAGGAAGGAAGGAAGGAAGGAAGGAAGGAAGGAAGGAAGGAAGGAAGGAAGGAAGGAAGGAAGGAAGGAAGGATTGGAGGGAGAGACGGACGGACGCACGGATGGGTGGATGGATGGATGGATGTATGAATGAAAGAAACAATAGCTGAGCCTTGCGCTTGGGAGTAGCGCGCAAGATTCGAAACGTGGGCGTTCTTATTCATCCCCGACTCCCGACATGAATGTAGCCTGATGTCTTTCAGAAAACCGAAGCCCAAGGAAGGTCCCCAACCCTTCTCCCAAGTGAACTTCTGCGGAGGCTGCCTTGCCAAATAGAATCAAACGATATGAGAAAGGCTTGCCTTATGTCTTGATGGGCTTTCCTCACAGATCACTCAACCCGCGCACCAGCAGGCCATCTGAAGCGTGGCTGGCATCACAAGCCCAGCATGCCAGCGAGAATCCTGAGCTACGCGGCACGTGTGATGTGCACTTGAACAGCCAACCCTCAAAATACGAAACAGACCCCCCCTTTTAGGAACCGCTTGCCAGAGCGACTTCGACTGTCGCTAGTTCGCCAAGGCGCAGAGCAAACAGCATTGACCTCAGAACGCATGCCAAGGACCTGCAGTTCCTACCGGGGCCGTTGCAAAAATGCATGGATGTGCCTTCTTGGAAACACTTGCGCGCAAAATGGAACGCGGCGCCAATTTTGGCTGGACAATCAGCCATCAAGGGGGGAATGCCAGAATGCCAGGGTTCGACTTTGGGTCCACGTTTGGTCCCTACAAGGGGGCGATGGTGATCCCGAGCCTATGGTTGATAGTATCCAGGAAGTAGGGAAGAAGGGGGAATTCCTATCGAGGAATCCCACTGCACCTTGGAGAGCCAGGAAACGCAGGTTTTGAACGAGGCGCTGACTGAATTCTTGAATCTGAAGCAAAGCAGGCTTAAGGGTTCCAAGCACCGGCAAGCAATCCAAAATGCCTCACAAAGCAAGTTGGTCGGTTGGAGATAGCCCTTCAAACTCCGAGATTTCAGTCTGACTCTCTCCAATTAAGCCCGCACATGCACTGGGGGATCACTGGCCATTGCGGTCTATATTGGTTTGCCTCAAAATGAGGAGGGGCCCTCAAAATGGTTGGTTTTCTCTTGGTCTTGCTCTAGAGCCAATCAGGAGGGTGGTAGGCTACGCTAATACAAAGCCTCAAAAGGGTCAATGCGAATCCCTACTACGCAGGTCTCTCGGCTAATGGCCGGAATTGCGAACCACAACAAGGAACCTGCCACGCCAGACTATATCAGTCTTGCTGTTGCGCTCACAAGTTCAACGCAGGCCCAGTAAAGCATGGGGGGGCTGCTCGAGAAAAGCCCCAACTTACAGCATCGGTGCTTAATCGATCTGTTTGGGCAGGCATACACAATCGATCTGTCCACAGGGTAGAACACACCGCTTCAACGCGCAGGGCCCCCGGCGTCCGGCGACAGGTGGCGAGGACGTGAGTTGCACAAGGCTTAAGCTTGAGCTGAGGAGTCCGACACCAGTTACGATAGATTCCATGCAAACCAGACACATGCTGGAGAAAAACAAAAAACAGACACTTCGTGCTCGCTTGGCGATATTTGGGGCTATGAGGGAAGGAACGGCAACAAAGGCTTAAGGGTCGCGCGACAACGACAATCACACTAGGCAACCCACAAGTCGGTGTCCATCTCGTGCAGAAATGGCAACAACTTCCTCTTCGCTTTTGGATCAGATGTAAGTTGAGCATGGGCGGCAAACCTGACCGCGTGACCGTACATCTCATGTCCCATGTCCAATTGAGGGCCCATGGTATGTCCTTGAGCACATGGTGGTAGCTCAGCACCGAGTTGGGTTTTGCATCTTCACCCTGACTCACAGCAGCACAGCCTCCTGAGGGCTTTCTGATCCATTCCCGGTTCTGCCTTTTGGGCTCAGCCAAGCCGGGTCAAGGTCAAAGTACCCCACCGTTGCTGAGCCCCATGCAACCTACCGCCTTGGGAAGTTTCCCGCTGGCGGCTCAAAAGACAGGACACCAACCTCATGGGACCACGACTTTGAGACTGCGCCTAGTTGATTCTTCGTCAACGCTTTCGGGCCTTGAGGCTGCTTGGTCTCTCCTTCTGTCATGGTCAAAAGGGATTCTGCCTAAGACTCTTGACAACGGCAGTCCGCTACCAAATACAAACTAAGCCAGCATCCAAGGCTAATTGGAAGATGAGAATTTCCTGCAGACTCCAGAGGAGCAACTCACCCCTGTATGGGAACCACGTCTCAAAGCTTTTGAGCTTTGGGACTTCGTTTCGAGCTAGCGCTCAATTTTCGACACCCTGTCCACAATGAAGACCTTGAAGTATAAGGGTCTATCATCCAAAATCACGTACAGAACTAGAAGGGCGGCGGCTCCTGTGTATGCTTGGGAGTGGCCCTTGCTGATTTTCACTTACCAGGTTGTGCTTGTGGCTTAATTGCCTTTTTCCCCCAAGAAATTTGGAAAATCGTGAGTCCCCTGGCTTGGTAATTCAAAGCTCGTCCTGTCCCTCCCACATGGACCATAGACTATCAGTAGTTTTGACCGGATGTCAAAGGGCGGCCAAAAAGAAAGCCGTTGCCCCAACTTCTCACGGCTTGTGCTCAGGACATTTAAGTTCCAAGCTCTGTCTGTCTCAAGGCACCCTTGGATGTTTGGCCACGAGCCTTGTGTGAAGCGAGTTCAACCAAGGACTAGACTTAGGGCACACAGCAATGTGCATCCTACTGTGGCCAACCATATCCATATCTCTGCAATTGCCCCCGCAAAACACAAAGGAGTACCTGAAAGACGATGAAAGACACTACACTACACAACGCCATTTCCAAAATCTGGTTAACACCCCGTGTCTGGAGAGAGAGGTTTGCCAGCCCGAAATTCCCGAAACCCTCAACTCGAAACCCAACTCCCAAAACCCTCAGTCCAGGTTGAGAGAGATTTGAAAGGAGAGCCCCTTGAAACCCTCAAAAACAAGGGATGCCCGTGTAAAGGGCCTACATCCTGGTGAGCCCGTTTCACACAAAAAAGTCGGCAGATCCAATCCGAGGTTCCGAACCAAACTCCCCACCTCCACCTGGCCCAGCTGCTCCGCCGCGTACTGGTCTGCGGAGACCTCGGTGGAAAAGGCACGAGCTCGGCAGTCGGAAATAGAAGGGGAACTATTGCCAAATGTGCCTCATTGTGTGACGACCCTAGGAACCAGAAGAGTAGAGTCACAGGAAGGAGGTCACAAAAACACCATGAGAGCGGTGATCAAAATCAATAGCAAGTTGCGATGATATCATTTGGCGCTTCCGCGTGCTTCCGCGCGCTTCCGCGCTGCGGGCGTTTGCTTCCGCGCTCTCATTTCCCTTCCGCGCCTTCCGCGGCTTGCGTCTCTTCCTTGCCAAGCCAACACAGCCCCCAAGACTTTCCGTTGCGTGGAATGGCTCCACATATTTTCCCGAGTCACCACGCAGGCCTCTTGGAAAGGGCTGGCTGGGCCGACATTTACTGTTGAATCGAAGCGAAGCAGCCAGGGCCAAAAAACGATTTGTTCGGGCTAAACAAATCGTTTTTGCTCCCGGGGCTTAGAAGGCCTGAATTCGCGGAACACTGGAGGAAGGGCGCGGAAGGACCGCGGAAGTGTTCCGTGATTTGGATGACTTGTGTGCGACGCGTTGTTCTCGTTGGCCCTGTGCGGGAATCGTAGCCGCGGTGTGTCGTGAGGCTTCACGTTTGCGTTGCAAATCTATTGGGATTCGCTTTTCAGGGCTCGTCGTAACAGTTGTAACAGAAACTGGATGGCTCCACGTTGCACAAGGATGTCTCAAGCACAGGCTCGCAATCTCTTCAGGGCTTCCCAAGCATGGCTGTTTCACTTTCCTGTTTCTAGCATCCAAGCCTTTAGTATCACCAGCTATGCCGGCAAATCCAAAGCCATGGGCCGATCTGGCCTCATCTTCTCGTGGATCTACTCGAGTCCTCCCGCCGGGCTCTGCTAGCAAAGTTGTGCCTCTTGCGGGGTGACGGCCAAAACAGATTGTGAGGCCACTTGCAAGCCCGGGGTGCGGAAACGATGCCCAAACAAATTGTTTTTTTGGCCCGGGAGCGAAAACAACTGTTGGGCCCAAATCGCTTGAGAGCAAAATATTTCTACACGCTTTTGACGCTCCAAAAATGCTCCCCTTCCGCGCCCTTCCGCTGCGCAAATCTCTTAGTCAAGTCCGCCGGCCCTTCCGCAAGCTTCCGCGGCCTGCAGAAAACCTTCCGCGCGGATTGATTTCAGCGCTCCCTTACTTAAATTGCTTTGAGCATTTTTGATCGCCGCTCTGGAGCTTGGGGTTGAATGGAGCTCAGGTGGGGAGGCGTCCAGCGGCGGTTTGCGAGCTTGTGGGTTCATGAGTATAGGGAATGGGTTGATGTTTGAGTTGGAGAGCTTGTGGGATGATGAGTTGGTGGCTTGTGGGTTTGGCTGATATCATCATTGCGTGCGAGTCGCAAAGTAGCCATCTTGACGGTTTCCGGCTCCGGTGCCCGCTTGGTCTGCCTTTTGGTCAACCTCCTTAGGGTAATGAAGGGTTTGCTAGCACGTGCTGGCACATGGTGGATTGACGATTGAAGATCGAAGATTTTCCTGAGCAAGTGTTTGTTGGATTGTTAAATCATTTTGCGGCAATCCGGATGTGCTAACACGGACTATTACATCCTGGAATGAAGCTAGAAGACTGAAGATGCCAAGAAGAGTTTGCGGAACATCTATAAGCACATCCTGGGTTGAAGATTGAAGGTTCCCAGAAAAAGTGCCCATGGAATCTTCAAATATTGCTGCAAACCAAGATGTGCTACACATCGTGGAGTGAAGATTGAAGATCGACGATAAACAGAAACAGAATCCGCAGAATCTGCAATCCGGTGTGTGTTAGCCTGATGTGCTAGCACGCGCACCAGATTGAAGATTGACGATTGTAAGTCTTTGTGGAAATCTTCAATCTTCAACCTCAATGCAATCCAGGATGTGCTCTTGAGAATGGCGAGGGCACGGCTACAACCCATGGTTTTAGCACCATACTCGCGACAACCATGTCTTTTTGTGTCAAAATGGAGTGGACCTCTAAATCATACCTGGACTCTTGGGTTGAACCTTGAGGATTGAAGATTCCGAAAACAAAAAAAACAACTTCAAATCCATGCTTATAGTGCAAACCAGGATGTGCCAGCGCGTGCTACATCTTGGAATCCTGGAGGCTCGACGGATCGGTGCTCTCAGTCCCCAGCGTTGTCAATGTGGTGAACCTCGGAAGCTTCGGGTCAAACGCCATGTTTCAAGCATGGGCATTGGCGATTGGTCATAAACCCCTGTGAGTTGGCGCCCTGAACAAGAAAAAGCAAACGGCAAACGTCCAACCTGCAAGTCCTCTAAAATGGCGTGGTTGGGTAGACAGCATGTGTGTCTTGACATTGCGTGGTCTTGCAAGCAGTCGGCCTAAGTCCATGATCCTGCCATTGGTCTTCCAGGTGGTAAGCGCTCTGAAGGAAGCGTGCCATGCTGTCTGCGAACAATTGCGAGTGGAAATGCACCATAGGTTTCGGCCATTGCAGGGAATGCTTGGAAATCTCATGTTGGCACAGGATGGAGTATGCAATAATATAATGCATACAATATAATTAAGTATAATGCCGGACAATACAATATATTGTGGCATACTAATATAATGTGGCATAATATAATATAATATAACATATGAACATACTATATATCTACACATACTATGATATAATATTATATGCCCACCCACCCGCCCACCCACCCAAGCAAGCAAGCAACCAACCAACCAAGCAAGCAAGCAAGCAAGCAACCAACCACCCACCCACCCACCCACCCACCCACCCACCCACCCACCCACCCACCCACCCACCCACCCACCCACCCACCCACCCACCCACCCACCCACCCACCCACCCACCCATCCCACCCACCCACCCACCCACCCACCCACCCACCCATCCCATCCCACCCATCCCACCCACCCACCCATCCCACCCATCCAACCATTTGTGTAACCGTGTAGACATGGCCGCCTTGCCTTGTCCAGTCTAGGAACCGCTCTCGCAAATGGAACAACTTGCGACTTGCTCGATCTGATGGAGTCGGGCTCGCCATAAGTTTGTCCCAAATGAGAACCGTCTTCCACTAAGAGCCCCCTTCCCGGGTGAAGTTCCAAGGGCTCGTCACACAATTTGCAGAACGCGAAAAATCTGGTTGGTTTCCATGTGCGCCTGCTGTTTCAAACCCACCAAACGGCAATGTGGTGGATATTCCTTTCCCGTCCCATCCGATCCTCCAAATGATCCACTATGACATTTAACAAGCTGTCATCTAACGAGCTGACATCCAACGAACCCGCCTCCCCCCACCCCCAAGTAAAAAACGCACAATGACACGCCCCCCACTGACCCTTCATACCGGCCAGCTCTCCATTCGGCTGAAGCGCCACCGAGAGTAGCAGCATCACATCGCAGAGCGGGCGCTTCTCAGCGGCCAAGGCGCACACCTCTCCAGTGACTCGAGAAACTCGCCATCGGCATCTGACGCCAAGGGGTTCTGAGCATCTCGCTTTTCCTCAATCAGCTAACCCCCCCAACAGCCCATTACCGCCCCGGAACGGCACACCCAACATTGGTTCTCGCGTTGCTATGAGCATTCAATTAACTCTCAATTGGGTGGTACGGTTCCAGCAAGTCATCGACGATGAAAATGGTACTTACAGACAGTTAACTCAAGGAGCAATCGGAGGAAGGTGAGGTTGCGAAGGAGAAAACTCCACTCGAAGCACTCAAGACGTTTAAGACATTGGACCACCGAGAGTTGTGTTTTCCACAATGCCACCTTCAGGACTACCGCGTTAGACCCGACCTTGTGTCATCAGTCAAGGAGCGGGAACATAAAGCCAACCCCGGGCAACAATTAGCAAAAAACACCAAACAACCACCCCAACTAAAACAAAAGAAGCCAACCACAGCCGTGTTGCCCCAGCACAACTCAGCGACCTATCATATCTATTTGCGGGAAAGCAAGTCCAACATCCATGCGGGATCAGGGAGCAGCTGACAGTGCCGACAAATTCATATGATCGGTCCGAGCAGCAACGCATCATTGACGTCTGATCTCTTCACTCAGATTCTTGTTGCAATCGCCATACGAGATGCGCAAAGGGAGTCCCACCCAAAAACTAGAAAGTTGCCTCCTGGCATACAGTACATCATCAAGCGCCTTCCTATTAGTCTAGCATCACCTCTAGCTATTGCTTGCAGGGTTGGGTGAATCAACACCATGTTTCCACCAGACCGCAACCAGTAAAGCCTCTTTTGGGGACGGATTCCACGCCAAGCCTTCTTGTAGTCCCACACATCCGGCGCCACCATGCAGTTCGAGAGGCTCCTGGATGCTTATCAACTCCCCAATTCTGCGAGGCGGCGGTGAGGGGAGAAAGGAGAGCGGGAGGCGAGAGGGCGAGAGGGAGAGAGGGAGAGAGGGAGAGAGGGAAGAGGGGAGAGGGGAGGGCCCCCTTCTTTGATGAGTTATGTCCAACAGCCATGTGTGACAATCGCAGCCTTCAAAAAGACATAGTCACTGTGTGAGGTTTCAGGAATGAGGTCGGCTTACCTCAATGCAAGGTCGCTACGACTCACGCAAGAACTCGGGAACGGCCTCCGTACTGACCCCAAATAAGGGAACCAACATTTAAGAAGGAAGCCGACCAGTGTTGCGAGGTCCATTCCCTGGTCGAGTGTTTCTCAAAATAGGGTCCCCCTACAGCGCAGCGCGTTCGGCCGGGGTCCCCACAGCTGCCGAATCCACTTGAGGTGCGTCTGAATCGCCTTGGTCTCAATGATCTGCGCCTAGCGATGCAAATTGACGCAACACTTGAGTGCGCATTTCGAGGGTACCCTTCATGGGCTGGTCTTGAAGGGACACCAAAGAGAAATGATCCCCTTTACGGTTCACCCATTTGCGAACCGGGCCCCACGCCAAAAGAGCCGGTCTCTTCAGGAGCAGAAGAGCGAAGGGCTTCTGAAAGGGAAACACCTGCCTCTGCCAGGCACAAAAACATATGCCCGTTTGGGACTCTTTTGCATCGTTGAGTAGCACACTGCAAAAGAGTGCGTCAGTTCGCGACTCTGAACGCCTTCCCCATGGGAAGGTCATGTTGGCCCACCGTGTGCTTCACATGGATTGTAGTCTCAGAAGGGCCATCCCACGAAAGCACGCACAAGAACTCAAAATCGTCCGTCGCTATAAATCCGTCCATCGCTGCCAAATTTTAGAGTAAGAACAAGGTTTCCAACAAAAACACAAGCACCGATGTCAAAAAGGGCGTGGTGTTGAACGTACAGCACAAGCATGCCACAGAAAGGGAACATGTGGCAGGGACCACCGATGAAACTCAGCTTTTGCTCGGGCAGTTTCATTGCCAACATGCCATCATGCGACCAAATACTCCCCCAACAAGTCTGAGCAACGTACGGCCACATCCGATGTCTTTCTGAAGAGTTGGAACGCACTCCATTCATCTCAGGAAAAAGCTGAACAGAGTACCACATGATCCTTCTCCCCACCGTCCCAACACAAAGTCGCGTGCCGCGTCCTGCGTCCCAGCAATTCCCGTGGTGCCATTCCCGATGCCCACCTGAAAGCTAGCGGCTACTGAGCCAACTGACAAAACTGACACCTCTCAGTCCAACAATCATTTCTCCAAAATGTCGAAATCGGGCTGGACTTCGCCAAACGGCGTAAGAAGTACCGGCCCGGTCAAAATCAGAAATAGCTAGGAGTTCATATCTGCCAAATGCTGCATCGCCTCGGATCTTTGTGCATCAAACCAGGCTGCTCGAGTTCACCTAACCTGCTTTGGTAGTCAACAAAGCGCCCAAGCTGTCAATTGCAAATCCCTTGGGCAGCAACTCTTATAGCAGGTTGAGTAGCCCTTCATGATACTGAGTATGCCCTAAATATTGCAAGTGGGGAACAAGGGACACCCTCTAAACTCCCATAGTTGTGGTTGGTTTACTTGCACCGTACCGGGTGCACATTAATCCCCAATGTAGGGGATATCCACCTAAGGGATCCCTAGAACGATGTATGCCCTTGTCATGTTTTTTTGGGCGTCTGGAACGTACCATGATTTGCATGTTGAGACCATCAAGAGTATGCATGCATCCTTTGTCAACGATCGCATTGTTCACAAGGAAGCAGGGGTATCGGTCAGTCCCTCCAAAGGCAATGGAACAATCCCGCCATTTGTGCTCAACGGGTCTTCGTTGACCACAAAAGGAGTGAAGCAAAAACACTGTGTGCCAGAGGGACAACCACATGATTGCAAAGTGCTCTGCACCTGAAAGACAAAGTCCTATCGCGGCAACCACTGGATTGAAAATGGCCACTCCATTGCCAAGAGCCCCCGTCAAAGCTAAACAAATCCTGCTGTTTGGTTTACCACAGACGGCATTTATGCTGTCTCATATTGACATCCTCGGCTGCAAGTGTTCGCCAGATCTGTTGGTGTCGGTGTGTTCAAAAGCGTTCGCGAGTGGAAGACACGTTCCTGCGCCGTTGGGGAACTCAATATGTGTTTATGGCTTTCAAGATGTGGTTTTATTGCGCTGGTGCGCAGATTGTAGCCTTCGAGACCTTGCCTGGTCGCAAGTTTGCGTCGCCGCGCCATTACGATTTGCATTTCAGAGGTGGCCGTTGTATGTATCACGCTTGGAACGCGCGTGCAAGCATTCGCTGTGTTGTTTTCCTTCGCCCCGTCGTGCAATCGTTGTTGTCTGGTGATCTTGAAAGCTCGTCAAAATCACGAGGAATCATTCTGGCGTCACAGGCCCGTGTACATTTCCCAGTCGCGTGATACATGTGGCGAAGTTTAACTTCATGGCAGGTGCAACTCTCTGGGTGCGTTTTGCTTCCTCGCGAGCTCACTTTCCGGGACAGGCGCAGCACTTTACTTTACTTTGGAGCATGCATACGGATTTCGTGACAGGCGCTGAATTTCGTGGCAGGCGCAGTGATTTAAAGCACGGCGTGCAGATTTTCGCGGGCACTGTCCTGTGCGCTTTCTCAGTCCCAGGGTGATAGATGGATAGATGGAGACACAATCGGATAAGCCGAAGCCCGAGAGGTTTCATTGGCATTGGCTGCTTGGCCGACTGACTCATTGCCTGACTGACTGACTGACTGACTGACCGACTGACTGACTGATTGACTGTTGAATTGAGCTGACTGGTTGGTCGTCTGACTGGTTGCTTGGTTGATTAGTTGAGTTGCATTGATTGAGTGAGTGAATGAGTTGAAATGTTCTGAATTGAAATGGGTCGAGGTGAACTGACATGAGCTGAATTGAATTGAGCTGATGCGCATGAGCTCGATTGAGTTGATAGCTCGATTGATTCATTGACTGGTCGGTTGGTGGCTTGCTTGCGTGCTTGGTTGGTTAGTTAACTGATTTGAATTGACCTGGATTGAGTTGAACTGACTTGTTGAAGTGAACTGACTTGGATTGAACTGAGTTGCATGTAACTGATTGATGGAAGAATTGAGTGAGTGAGTGAGTGAGTGAGTGAGTGAGTGAGTGAGTGAGTGAGTGAGTGAGTGAGTGAGTGAGTGAGTGAGTGAGTGAGTGAGTGAGTCAGTGAGTGAGTGAGTGAGTGAGTGAGTAAGTGAGTGAGTGAATGAGTAAGTGAGTGAGTGAGTGACTGAGTGAGTGAGTGAGGGAGTGAGGGAGTGAGCGATTGCTTGGTTGGTTGCTTGATTGATTGGTTTGTTGGTTGATTGGTTGGTTGGTTGCTTGATTGGTTGGTTGCTTGATTGGTTGGTTGCTTGGTTGCTTGGTTGCTTGATTGGTGAGTGAGCGAGCGAGCGAGCAAGTGATTGGTTGGTTGGTTGGTTGGTTGGTTGGTTGGTTGGTTGGTTGGTTGGTTGGTTGGTTGGTTGGTTGGTTGGTTGGTTGGTTGGTTGGTTGGTTGGTTGGTTGGTTGGTTGGTTGGTTGGTTGGTTGGTTGGTTGGTTGGTTGGTCGGTGCATTGGTTATTTGATTGAGGTGGTTGACTGACTAACTGATTGATGGATTGATTGACCGATTGATTGGTTGATTGATTGGTTGATTGGTTGATTGAGTGACTGACTGACTGACTGATCGATTGATTGGGCTGAATTGGTCGGGAGTTGAAGTCAAGTGAACTGAACTGATTGATCGATGAGGCGCGTGGATGGATAGATGCAGATTGGCTAGACGAGGATGGATGGAAAACCGGACAGCTAGATGGATAAACAGACAATTGGATAGGTAAGTAGGTGGACAAGTTGAAAGAGAGACAAATAGAACGGTAGACAGATGGGTAGGCCGAAAGATGCATAGGTAGACAGAAAGTGGCAGAGGTAGATAGATATGCGGACATGTAGAAAGACAAAGGACAGGTGAGGCTACATAGGAATCCTCTTCGAGCTCGAAGAGCGAGGGCAACCCTACCCGTAACGTATACCGCTGACGTGTTTTGTTGCACCCCAAGCTCCTCCTCAGCATTGCCTGCATCACCTGCACGCAGGCCGGCCCCAAACACTTGGGCCACAAAACATCTCCGGCCTCCTTGGCCTTGCGACGGGCTTCTGATGCCACGTTGCCCGACCTTCAAAAAACACTGTAAATGCCGTGCAAATCCTCCCGGACAGTCCCTTACATCCCCTGCATTTCCTGCATCGCTCAAACCCTTCAAAACTGCCGCCCTGCGAGTAGGTTTTGGCAGTAGGCGGACATGTCTGCGATCCAGCGAGCGGCTTTTCTTGCGCAAGTGCGGCCGCCGCCGCTGTGCGGAAAACATCGCACATACCGTGTTTTTCTTCATTTTTCCACGGGTTTCTGTGAGGCTGGGACGGGCTGCCGGAAATACTTAAAAACACTGATTGGCTTTCGGGGTGAGACCCGTGTGGCGCGCGCGCGCGCCGGACCCAAGCGCCGGACACAAGCAGGCACACATGCACTCAAGCTAGGGTGGGTGAGTGCTCCAGCCTCTTGCGCGTGTGGGTTCGCCTAAACAGATGAAACAGGGTCCCGCCTAAACAGAGTTCTTCCTTAAATCCAAAACTCAGCTTTACCAAACCCATGTTTTCTTACATGTCTCTTGTTTAAAACCTGCCCACAATCAAACCCACAAAGGGGGTAGTACTTCAGCCCCCAACTTGACATTATCTCAGGGGCCCCCGATTGTTGCCTGGCCCCTGAAAAATACAACCTGCCCAGTGCAATTGCCTCTTAGCTAGTCAAGTAGTTAGACAGCCTAGGTGAGGCTGGCAGTGCTTCATGCTGTGTTGTTAGATTTGGGCCTGCTCCTCAAATCCAAAATTGTCAGCTTTACCAAACCCATGTTTTCTTACATGTCTCTTGTTTAAAACCTGCCCACAATCAAACCCACAAAGGGGGTAGTACTTCAGCCCCCAACTTGGCATTCTTTCAGGGGCCCCCGAAATAAAGTCTTGTTGCCTGGCCCCCCCAAGAAAAACAAAAGGAAGCTCCAGCAATACTAAATCAAATGGAAACTCAAGTCTGCCGATACTAAATCAAATGGAAACTCAGTTCCAAATCTCAAAAGGAAGCGCCAGCAATACTAAATCAAATGGAAACTCAAGTCCAGCAATACTAAATCAAATTGAAACTCAGTTCCAAATCTCAAAAGGAAGCTCCAGCAATACTAAATCAAATGGAAACTCAAGTCTACCAATACTAAATCAAATGGAAACTCACTTCACCTGGATCTCAAGATACTATTCTGGGTACCCCCTTCGTTGGGGGGGGGGGGTCCCCCCTTTACTAATCCCATTTGGACATTAGATTCCAAAGATGGATTGTATCGATAGCTGCAGAAACCGATTGATAGATGGATCGAGAGATTGGTGGATAGATAGGTGGATACACAGCTCAGATATGCAGGCAGAGAGATAGGTGGGCAGATAGGGAGGTTGCGACAAAGCAAGTCTTGCAAGGAAAAACAAAGATGCACTCAACCTTGCGGTTGCGATCTGAAGCGCCGAGTAATTGCTGACCTGGCGTGGTATTGCTTTGGGTTGTCGTCGCATAAGATATGTCTCGCACACGCGAGCAGAAGTGTTGTCCCTTGAATCGCGGTAGCTCTGCCGGTTCATCTGCAGTCAGGTCTGCGGCTTCTATCAGGTTCTTTTTTTCCTGGAGGGCCCCTGTCAGGTGTCATTTGAGTCACAATCAAAACCCGGTACAAAAATGGTCGACCCAGAACCACGTAAAGAACCAAGAAGGCGGCCGCAGCTATTTCCGGCTGGGATCGTTCCTTACTAACCTTCATTTACCCGGGTTTTGGAGTGCGGCTCATTTCCTCTGTGAGGGCCCGGTCCCAGTGCGTCATGTGGCAGTACGACTCACGGCCCGAGCCCGCCGACCGGCGGCCGGCCCCCCCAGATGCCAAGGCGCGGAGCCCTCCACGCCGAGCACCCAGGACTCCGGGTAGGCCACCGCCGCCTGGCGGAAAAAAGCGAAAAAGAGCCGAGGAAAGGAAGGGAAGGAAAGAGCAGATCCAATGGAAGTCCATTTTGGCAGAGGGGTCAAAAGTCAGAGGAAGTCAATGAGCTATGAAATCAACCTGACTTTTGTTCATTGTGAATGTCTCCCATTGCATACAACCGCTCGACACGGTGGCTCACAAAATTGGATCTGGCAAATGGAAGCAAGACGTGAGCCTTGAAGAGCTAAGCATTTGTTTAGGGTGCCCTGTTGCCCCAGGCCTCGTGCTCGCTTTCGTTGGAAATAAGGAGTATTCAATTTGCAGCACCTCTCGTTGACATTCGACGTAGATACTGGGACCATGCTCGGCTTGTGAAGACCGCATGCTCTGACAACCATTGCAAATGCAGCCGATGTCGACCATGGAACAAATATGCCGATTTCATCTTGTCGAGTTCACTGTTGGCAGAACGCGCTGGTCCGACCTGCGAACTTCACTTGACGTCCATGTTTCCAAGGAATCCAATGGTGTCTTGGAAAAAATTCGACCAACTCAAAGTGAAAAACCTCCGAAATCGTCCTGCAAGCTGAAGAAGCCGCAGCAGCTGCCCAAGTCCAGCAAGGTGAAGGCGCCCTACGAAACGTCCCCGAATCCCCATTGAGTGTCTTGGCCAAGTCTGTCTGTTCAATTGCCAAAAAGTCCGATCTACCACAACCAGCGAGCATCACAAAGGCCTGCCTTGAATGCTGGGTTAGGGTTTAGGGTTTAGGGTGTCTCTTCGGTTTTCGGAAATTGCGCACCCAAACTATCGGGTGGGAAGAAAAACTCGGGGAAGCGACCCGAAAACCAGTCAACAATATAGCCACAGGACCGCGTTTGGACAAAGTGACGTTTGGCATTGTTAATCAAGTCCCAAACTCACATGCAAACTGCATGAGGCAACGCACATGGCTGAATCAAGTGAGAAAATGACATGAAGAAGAGGGACGGCCAAGAAGAAATAAATATGGCAACAAGTGTGTCGTCTTATGATCATGCCCGAGTTAGAGACCGAATGATTGACCCGAACTATGTTATTACCTTTGTGCAAATAGTTTGTCGTGCCGATTTATCTATAAGTACGTCAATAGTTCTACGATATGTTCATGTTCCTACATGTGTATATATATATATATAACTGTCTCGCTGTGTTGATTTGCTAACTTGCTGTTTGACAAACTATGTCTATAATGTAATGTTGCTCTCCGCATGCGGTGTGCATCCTCCTCCTAGCCACCCACAAGATTGATCGATGCGAAGGAAAGGGTCGTATGCCGGATTCCTGTCCCAACTCAGCTACTGGATTCTGATATTGGGTGTTTCCTTTACTTTACAGGGCACCCCTTTCTCAGGTAAAGGGGCAACTGACACTTTGATCCCCACTGAGCAAATGGAGCTTTATCGGGGGCCCCGCACCTCGCCGAAGGCTTTCTGCAGCTCCGCGTCAATGGCGGCCCAGCCTGGGGGGGGGGGGTTGGGGTGGGGCGGATGTGGAAAAATCTGCCCGCACCAAACAATGGCCCAACACGGCTAACTCGATTTCAACCGGCGCAGGCTTGATTAAGAGAGCGCCTCTTTCCTGAGCACGCCTCTTCTCACAAGACTGAATCGCTTCAATATAGCACTCAAGTAGACACTGACTGACTTGGGGCTAAAATCTGGCCAGCCCGCAACGCATGAAGATTCTCAGCCGCGGCAAGACAAAGAGGCCAAACGGCAGGTCCCTTCTGACCCGCCTTCTGACCCGTCACTGGTCAAGCTCCAATGTCTGCTCTGCCAACATCAAATCTGGTGCCCGAATGCAACAGTAGCTGTAGTGGCTGACTTGATCCCAATACCTTAAGAGCGTTGCAAAGCCCTAGAACCGAGTAGTTTGTCTGGGACCCAGGATGACACCAACTGTTGTCTGCTGCCCCTGGTCAGTATGGGGAACAATTTCTACAGTGCTTACTAGAATGCTACGAGACATGCGGGTCTCCATGGATCGGCTCAAGCCAGACTGTGTGACATGTATAGTTATCCTGCAAATAATCTGAACTATTCTTACACAATCGCATATTGACTTACGATATACAGACAATACAAGATTGCTATCAAGGTTCATGAAAACCGGAATAGATTCACCAGTCTAGCACCAAGGCTCGCCTTACAACGCTTATCGGCCGGCAAATGTAGTCAAGCACTGGCCACGTGGCCAGTAAAGGATTTGCGTGGCCAGCAAAAGATTGCGCCTAAAAAGGTAACAGTTAACTTGGAAAGAGTTCTCTCTCAAAAGGACCCTATGACCCTCATGTCGTTCTGCTGATCCCTGCTAATCAGAGGGAGAAAATTAATCAGGGACCTTCTCCCGCAACTTTCGACACCTTCGAGTGGGTCCAAAGTGACATCCTCAAAATGGTCCCTCTCTCGGCGGTTTAAAGGGAAACCAGGACCCGCAAGCAGTTTTGAGACACAGTTGGAAGCTGGGCTGAAAACCCAACGAGAACCCAGGATTTGACCGGGACCTTCAAATCCCAAGAAGGACGCACCCCGAGGGAAGGGCGGGTGACAAAGTGCCGCCAGGGTCGGTCGATGTACCTGGGCGTGGCCGAGCCTGGTGGTGGAGCAAGCAAAGGGCTCGATCCCACTTACCCAAGGTCTGGCATTCCAAAACCAAGACGTCTCAAAGTTTGGAAGTATCCACAGCTTGAAGGTAAGTCATGCCTTTTGCTCAAACTCAACCCAGCCGCCAGCTGCAATACCAAAATGGTTAAACTCCCACTCCGCATGGTGGGGCCATTCAACGGGTGGCAGGCTCTTTGTGTATCGCGGGCGTGCGGTGCGGTTCCCTTTCTTGGGGTTGCAGCTCTGCTGTGTCCTTTGGAGTGCAAGCCATACAAATGCAGCCCTGTCTAATTGGATATGTGGCAAAGCTGATACATTTGTCTGATATACATTTATACATATATAAATTTATACATATATACATATACATATATTTATTCTGTTCAAAACAAATGCAATCTTTTGGAACCGAGACCCAAACGTAAAAAGTGATGCCCGAGTGGCGTGAAGTCTGCCTGGGGCAGCCTCGCCGCTAGCCTCGCCTCGGCGGAGACCTGAGCCAACCGGACGGCAGGGCGGGACCCCGTTTTGGGATGGTTTTAAAGGGAAGCCGCCAGGAAGCAACCCATTCAGGTATGTATGCATGTGTATGCATGTGTATGCATGTCATACGTGTGCGTGTGTGTGTGTGTGTGGTTTGTTGAGGAGCTTTGAAGTTGGTTTTAAGGGACATCAAGGTGAACAACACCATTTTGGGGATTTCTCGATTTTGACACATGAGGCCGCGGCAAAACCTCAATTGAAATGGGCTGCACATGTGTTTTCTTATCGGTTTTGCGTCTAAGTTTATCGTTTTACACATTAGATGTATGTTCAACCTTCTCGTTTTTTTTTGCACCTTCTCGTTTTACCGGGGTTCGCGCATTTTTGGACAACTGCGCGCATCAGCTCTCATGGTGGCTTCAAAGGCTTTCATCGTCGGACTCACGAGCAGCAAGCTCCTTCCATGCTTTTCGTTTGCGCTTGCTTGCTTCAATTTGTTTGGCTAGCCTGCGCTCATCAACTGCAATAATGTGTTCCAACGTAGAGTCCAAGACATGTTCCAACGTAAAAGACAATGACAAGTATGCTGTCCATGGCCGGGAGACATCAAAGGGAAAGCTAGGGTAGAGTGGCTAAGTTCCTCTCAATGGGCAACTCCTCACGGGCATGGGTTCTGTCAAAAAGCGTTATCGTTTTTGTTATCGTTTTCAGCGTCGTGACTCGGAAGCCTCTCCCGGGTCTCAATGCTCCAAGCCATGGTTGTGAACAGGAAGGACGGAAAGGGAGCAAACAAGATTGAGCAAAATGCTAGCAATACGTGCATTCCATGCTCCAAACCTTATCGTTTTCCAGCACAAACAACACGGAAACACCCAAAAACCTTATCGTTGTTTTTTGCACCTTGTCGTTTTACCGGGCTTCGTGATTGTCCAACACAATGTGCGCAACTCTTACATCCCGCAAGCACGAGAGTATTGCCAGTACCTCACATACCCATTTCTGAGGTACCCTTTTAGAAGCAGCCAGTCTTGGGTCAAATTCAGTTCTGTTGGAAAAAATAGGTCTGAGTGAAGCTTCGTGGGGTCCGGATCCTCAATTGCCTGTGAGCTCATGGCCCTGAAACCGAATCTGAGCGCCCAACACCCTCGGCCAGAAGACTACAGGCATGCAGGAGCAATCAAACGGCTCAAATTGCCGCAGTTTGATCAGGGGGAGTGCGGACTCGATCTTTTTGTACTCCCCTCAGTAGCCTAGCCGAAGGTGACTGCCTCCAAAAGCCATTGCTTTCTGGGTCTCATGCTTATCTGCAGTGAATTTCTCTGGGCAAGCCACTCCGGAATCCCGGCAGCTTCGATTTCATCGCTCGACTTACCGATTCGGACTCGCTCGTGAACAAGTTTGCCCAGAAATTCAGAATGCAAGGGGCATTGGTTTCGGTTCAGGGAATGATGGGCTTCCTGGTGGTTTTCCCCTTTGAAGCCACCAAAAAAGGGTGACTCAGAAAAAGCCACACCCAAACTACTTGATTCTCTTCTGGCTAAACATGGACTTTAAGCACCCAACCCCGCAACCCATGGCCGGGCACCCAGCACCTTGGGGAGCGCGGAGCCAGATGCTTGCGCCTCACCGGAGCGAGACAGCCACTGGTTGAAAATGCGTGTAACCTGCCCAGAGACTACGGGCAAAACGAATATGGCCCTCTTACAAAATCGGCTGGGTGGCTGGAAGGCGGAAAACGGGGGTGTTCACCTCAGACAAATTCTGATACCTGATGGTCTGCTCTATACACCAGAAAAATGCCGAGAGGGGACCGCAACTGACAGGCCCCAAACCTTCCATCCCTCCGTCAAATGCCCCAAACGCCTGAGATTTGCAGCTTCATAACTCTTGATAGCTGACAACCTGGCCTTGCCACCAAGCCAGCTTATTTGTACTCATATTGGTTCCGTGTTGCTTTGAGAGCTGACAGCTTGGTCTGCATGGAATCAACGTGTGATGCAGCAAAGCACTCGGTCGACGCTGACAGTCGCAGGTTTGCTTCTGTCGGCCAGGCCGCGCACTGGATTGCTCCGAGGTTCTTCCCATTTGCTTCAAGTTCCAGTGAAAAAGACATAAACCGGCCACTACACAGTTCCCCGCGAAGCCACCAGCAAAAACAACGACTCTCAACAAAATAGAAGAAGATTGTGTAATGATACTATTCCCATGACCGGGCGCAAAATCCTAGGACATCCGAGCAAGCTGATCTTGTTTCTCTTGAACATGGCCTATGAATGGGGTCCCCGAATTTTGGAAGCACCTCATGACACGGTTGGCCGACCCAGTCTTACCGTCCCGCAACCGCGGCCAAGCCTGCAGCTGATCCCGTGCCTCAAATACTTTGGCTTAGATCGAGGCGTTGGGTATGACGCAACTACTTGTCGGCACGTGGTAAGTCAACTTGTCCGAATGTCAGTGTCCCAGTCAAAGTAACTTGCTTGAACCTGTAAACATATGTAGGATGATATCACTGCCATACGGGGGTCGTTTGCGCCCGTGAATCCAAGGGTAAATAGTGGCATCCGGCTCAAAGGATCCGGTCTTTGAACAGTTCACCACAAACCTGCAGCAAGCCAATGCGTGTCAATGCCAGCTTGCGCGAGAGAGCAGTTCATCTGAGACTTCACAAAATGGAAACACGTCAGTCCCATTCTGCCCAATGCGACCCCGGTACCCCGTTCACAAGGCATTGCAAAGCTTCAACATGCTATGGTAGTGGGCCATTGTCTTGGAGCTTTTCCTGCCAGCTTTCAGAAAACGCGTACTTTACGTGTCTACATGCAAATAGGACGCTATCATGTCCCAGCACGACGCCTTTCTTCCCTTCGTACTCCTTAGCGGATTGTTCCAAAAGGGCAGCGCAAAGGGGCAAAACGTACACAAACCACAAAGAAAGACATGGGGAAATGGACATGTAGGAAGCAGGTGATGTCAAGCCCAGAGGCCCATGGACTGCCATAAAACTGATATTTACATTCAGTCCTTTCTTCCAATACAAAAAAGGGTCCCCAACTCCAAATGATCAACGCTACTGTACCAACCTCAACTCCAGTTGAATTAAGGAGCCCCCCTATCCTTGCTCGCTTGGGCCCGAAAAGTTGCATGTTACGAACTTGAGCTGCCCCCACGACTTGCTGATTGGGTGCCCCAAAACCAGCCAGGACCAATTGGGGGTGTGATTCATCGAATTACGCTCACGCAACTTGCATTGTGCAGGGGGGCTTTAGGAAATTGGGTGGACTTTAAATCATGTAAAGTATATGCCGCTAAGACAAGCAATTGCGAGTAAGAAGGGAAGCAGAATGCCATTACCTGACCCCAAAGCTCATGGTGCCTTTCACTGAGCGGTCTGGAAACCACGTATCGGTAGTGTCTTGCTCACTCCATCCCTTCACAACTCAAATGATTCTGAAAACTAACCATTTGCTCATCCCATGGCTAATTCCCCCCCTTGAGTTGGCTGGGCCAGCCTTAGACCCCCAAAGAGTTACAAAAGCGGAAAGTGACTCGGAGCCCCAAAAAGGCAGAAAGGCAAAGGATTCGTTGAGCCTGGCACTGGATGATGCCCTTTTGTTTTCTCAATCTGCCCGCATCCTACGGTGACAGCGTCAACTTTTCCCTGAACCTGCGCGCCTGCGGTCGCTGCAGGGCGTCCCACCGAGCGCCCTGGCCAGTTGGAGGCCAATCTAGTTGCATGGCCCAGACAGGATACAAGTACGCGTTGGACTAGGGCGAGACAGCGGCTGGCAGTGAATAATTGAAGTAGGAAGTGAAGCCACTCTAAGTCGCCTTCCCGAAAGAAACAAGGGCACAAAAAGCAGGGTATACCACAGCAAGCGGTACAGGTCAGTTGAACCCAAAAGAACTCTGGGAGAGGCAAATGGTCCATCAGGCTTCAGGTTCCATGGGAGCCCGACTTGGCATCCAAACTCCTTAGGTCTTTCCGACTTCACACAGGAAAGCTGGGTGGAGCAATGCCTCCGGCTTGTCACTCGCCGACAAAGAGTTGCAGGCGCAAGCCCCCAGGTGTTGCAGTCAGTTTTGTCGGACCAATTCATGCGTCCACATGCCGAGCAGGGGGAAACTTCAGCGTAAAGCTTGGTTACCAGAGGTTCAAACCAGCAACCGAAAAATAAAGCCGACCCTCAGCTGCACTGCCGATATCAGGCTCTGGCTCATTGAAGCATCTATGCAGTGAATTGATGCTCGAGCAATGCGAGAAACACAACAAAGCGCGCGCATTCACAGCACTCCCACTAACTCAGTTTCTGAGGCAAGTCAGACCTCTGGTAAGGGTCTGGCTATTGTGACAGACCATGCTCTGCGAACACAGAGCCAAAGTGGGCATGGGTCAAAGGTGAGAAGCCGACGCATAAACCATGTCATCCAAATCGTGTGCAAAATATCACTTGGCCTCCAAGCAAAATAATCACCACAGTCAAACAAGCGCGGCAGTTGACAAGACACGGTTGCTGAACCATCGCCTCTGGGGAAGGTTCCAATAATATCTATCTCTACAATTGTTTGAGAGACACTGTCACTGCACACTCCGGCCATTTCCTCGCAAGCTTTGAAGAGTTGTGCTGCAAAATGGTGCTGCATGTTCAAGTGACGAAACCAAGCACAATCTGCCAAAGGCTCTACCTGCAAACATGTCCAAGCAACCCATCCGGTCCAAAAGCTCGGCCTTGCGCTCGGCATCTCCCCACTCAACCAACATGCACGAGCCTGGGGGGCTGAAGGAGTAGTTCCCTGGCGGCTGGTGCCGATAATGCAATGAAAACAAATCGAACACTTCCGCTGGGGATGACAAGCCTGGTTTACACAAAGGCAAGATCAGCACAAGAGGAAAGGCATTGCCACATGGCAGATTTCCAGCGGACGTGGGAAGCAAACATGTCCGCGGCATTGGAAAGGTGACCCTTGCGCGGCTCTCTTCGGACAAACAGGATAAAGGTTCGCGGCTGTAAAGATCTTGCCCATTGGGTCCAATCTTTGTTTCAACCTCCAAACACGCGGAAAAGTCTCTGCTCCTAAGTTGTGGTGGTTGTACTCTTGGCATGTGCTCACGGAGCGTCTGCGCGCCTGAGGAAGCAGCTGCCTGCCCCACGGCCTGGGCCATGCGTCACTTGGTGCTTCGACTGCATGCCAAAGCAAATCACATGGGAAACGGAGAATGGCCACGTGAATCATTCATGTGGCAGCTCGCGGACTTCTTTTGCCTTCAATATGTGTCAATCTCCGCATTTTGCAACTTGCCAGAACTGCCATGGTGAAACCATGAGAACATGCGTCCTAGCATCTCACAGCCCGAGGTTTCACGGCAAAGTACACATCAGTGCGTCGCTGTTCGGTAGTATCTTACTGACATGTCTGGTGGCTCACTTGGCCTCACCACTTTCCCTTGCCCCAGCCACTCCAATCCTCCTTGCCAAAACCTTTGCCGCCCTTTCCCCAACCGCCGGCGCCCTTGGCCACCCCATTGCCCTTGCCGCCGCCCCAACCCCAGTCGCCGCCCCAGTCACCGCCCCAGTCTGCCATCGAAGCCATCATGGCAAACATCTGGGACATGTCGCCCCAGCCGCCGCCCTTGCCGCCCTTGCCAGGGTCACCGTGGCGGGCGTTGACCATGCCTCGCAAAGCCAAGCAAAATGAATCGAGTGATCCAGCTCCCTTCAGCCTGGAGAGGGAAAATCGCTCAAAGCCATGCCATGCACGACTCTGACAGCTTCGAGTTCAACTGCCAAGCGGCGCTTGATCAGCACCTTGGAGTGAGATGCTGACACTTCCCAGTCAAAAGGCGTTTCTGTGCATCGTGACAGGTCACAACGCAGCTGGGGCATTTGCCAATACTCTTTCGCAAAACCACCAGCAATGCCTCCTTGAAAATTAATGAGGCATCCGTGTTCTCACTTGACATGAGCTGAACCTCTCCAAAATGAGATGTTTGCCCTGTCGGAAAGGATCTGACAGTAAATGTTTGCTTGGACGCGGCTGTGTGAAACGCACATTAACATTCCTTGTCTAGAACCTTGCAGGCTTCACCTTCCAGACATGACCTTTCGTGAAGGCATGTGAAGGCCTGGATTTAACACACTTATCACTGGTTTCCTTTTCGGATGCTAAGCGATGATTGTCAGCTTCTTTGCTTGGCCCAAGAAAGCACCCGAGAGATTGGCGGAGCAAAGTTGAACCCATCACAAGGCACGGCATTCACGTCATTGGCGCCCTTCAGCGTGCCGACCTGCAGCTCGGGACGCAAGCGTCCGCGCATTTACAAAAAGATAAAGGTCAAGCGTGGTTCTGCATGTATTGCAGGTCCTGAAAGAATTAACACAATCCGGGAAAGCAGTTACATAATGTCTTCCATGTGAGCTCACGATCGGCATTGTACGCCTTGGCAAATCTGTTTGCCCTTGTTCCCGGCAGATGCTGTTTTCCCGGTTTCTTTGCCGACCCGCTGGCAAGAAAGGAATAGATACCAAGACAAGTCGGGCAATGGTGATATGAGGTGATATGACTTTGAGCAGCCCTCTCAGACTCCCGGGGCAGCCTCGACGAACATTCCGGCGTTCACGCGCTGGAATTCGGGGTAAGGAAACTTGAGTGGGGCCTGAACGAAAAGCCAACATGTACGACCCAGGCGGTGCCAAGATAGAATAGCAGCCTTAGATTAAAATCCAGAAAGTGATTCGGACCCAGAAGGATTTTTCATTTGCAAACACGTGGACGAGATTTCCAGTTGGTTTGCTCGGAGGGGTGGGCCAGGCAGGCGTCGAACCCTTCGAGTGGGAAGGTCCCCCAAGTAAACGTTCGTGATCAGAGTTTGACCTCGCACTGGCACTTGCCAAAGGCCTTGTTTGCAGAGCGCGAGAAGTGAGGTCATTTAGGAATATGTTCATCACTCTTGCCCCCTACTCATGTTTCAATCCGCGGCCCCTTTCATATCTTGGTGTACCGTAAAATACAGTGCTCTTATGTGGAAGGGCCAACTGAATCCTTGTTTGATGTGGACACCTCCACGTCAGTGGTGCATGACCATCTTAAGCCCCAAGTGTTATGACTATGGCACATTTGAAGTCTTGAGACTCCCCTAATGTTGGGACGCTGCTCTCCCCAACTAGGCTGCCCCGATGTAGGATACCTGATGGTAGCTGAAGGGTCGACATCAGCAAGAGGAATCATAGTTGTTCCTAGAAACTAGTTGGTCCCGCAACGGGCGTCCTTACAACAGCTTGATCAAGGCCTTGATGCAGTTGAACCATTCCCATTTACCTTCAATGACCCAACAATGAGTATGGCAAAGAAGTGCCACATCCAACACAACTTGAGGGACGAGCTGCTCTTTTCGCAACATGCAAGCCCCAAATGATCAAAGAGATCTAAAGGGTAGAGGTGCTTTCTTTTTCCCAGGGCTGGTTTTCCGCAGGGATGGCAACATCCCCAGCATCACCAGCCTCACGGCTTTAGGGTTGCTTTAGGAATGTGGTTGGGTGGTTTGGGGCAGCGCTCCAAGACTAATCCTAAAAGAGACCAAAACTCACGCAACCACATTCCTAAAGTATTCCTAAAGCAACCCTAAAGCCGCTCAACCAACAGCACACTCAACACAAATCAGCTCCAAGCCAGCCCCAAATCCACCCAAAGTCAACCCAAAACGCCCCAATCAGATCCAATAGGCAACCCCCGGGCCAAGTGAGGCTGGTGATGCCAGGGAACCAACCAACCAACCAAACAACCAACCAACCAACCAACCAACCCACCCACCCACCCACCCACCCACCCACCCACCCACCCACCCACCCACCCACCCACCCACCCACCCACCCACCCACCCACCCACCCACCCACCCACCCACCCACCCACCCACCCAGCCACCCCAGCCACCCAAGCCTAGTCAAGAAACCGGGCCTAGGAAACAAACAACACCGGATCCGATCTAGAGTCAAAACTCAACAGTCCGTGCCATCAACCTGACCCGATGTTGAGGGCTCACCCCATGTGGCCCAAAACATCTCAGAATGGTGGCTCATCTCTATGCTGCACTCCGCCTTGGCAGGCCCAGTCCTGCCCCAAGTTTGAGCTTACCCTTGGCGAGGTAACCCTGGAATATACCTGTGCACATTAAAGGCCTTTGGGTGGGGTCAAGCCTTCATCACGAGGATCTGCTGGTCTCGCGGCAATCCTTTGAGCTGTTCCATGACCTTGGCTGCGGTTCTCGAAAGCTCGGGGGGTCAGGAGCTGTCACTTCGCATTGGCAGACTTGGAGGCAGGAGGATACGTTCTCTGTCCAAATAGGAAGTCGGAAGACTACTTCACTTTTGGCGAACCTTTCGATTGCCGCTTCTGTGCGCCCTTTTTCTTCAGAATTTCTGTAAGGGTACTCTCTTGAATATCGGTGCCTTCCGGAAAACGGCTGTTCTATTAACAAGTTCAATCGCTATCAACTGTCAAACGCTCCAAAAGCATTTGGAACGTGGCACTTTCCGTGCCATCAGCCCAGGCTCTGCGCCAAGCTAACAAATACACATCCAAACAGCCCACGCAGATGCCTTGGCGTACACCGAAGTTTTCCAACATCCTTCGTCCTTCTTGTACAAAGCAAAGTTTAACAAGTGGAAGCTCTTCAACCTTGTTAGACTGGCAACCCTGCAATCTGAAGCTGTCAGGGAGGGACTTGTTGGTGCCTCTTTGATGCCTCACACTCCTTCCTCCCTCCTTCCCTGTTCTCCCCCCACCCATACCCCCCACCCGCCCCCCGTCCCTGCCCCTCCCCCCCATCCCCTTGCCGCCAAACGGCGCGCTCCTCCACGTTGTAACCTGTCAAGAAGTTCTCGATGGGCAGCTCCGACAAGGGCACCCCCTGTGCCGCCGGCGTGCCGCATTTCCTGCGCCAACATCGGTCGAGAAAACTCGGAGCAACAGGCTGCGTTTTAGGACCCCGGGAGAAAATCGGACAAAGAGGGGCGCAAACACTCCAAAAAAGGGACAGCTCGACTCCACAACACAAAAACACAAAAACCGCGCGCAACTGGCTTGCCTTACAGTGTCCAAATAAAGTCCGTGCTCTCTGCTTTTCTTGTGAATGGTTTCGAATGCACATTTGCATCCACTGCCTCTGCCACGTGCAAATCCACACAACGCCCGGCCCGCCTGCACATCTCATTTCTGGAGAAGTTGTGCTCCGAGCATTGCAAGCAGAACCATTCTTCCTGCTTTCCTGAGTCGCCACTCGGACTTTGTGTCTCGCAGCTCTCCCGCTCCAAAAGATTGCAAGGAAGCCCCCTGGTTCTCTTCATCTCTGGCAGGAGAAACGGATTCGCGGACTGATGAGATGGGCCTTGGTGAAGTACCGATGGGAGGACGCGAGTGGCTCATGGTGGCTCATGGTGGCATGTAATTCGGAGAAAGGAATCTCAGCGAGGTGGCCACTGCTTGGCATAGGCCGGCTTTCCTGACTTCAGGGGTCTGCGGCAATGCCACAGATGTCTTGACTCTGGCACTGGTATGGTGCTGAAAAGCAGCTGTCTCTTTTAGCCCTTGGTCAAGGACCAGGTTCTGATCCAGCACTCACAGGTTTCTCCGTCTGGCTCCATGTGTGTCCATGACTTTGAGAGGAAACTGAAACTGCCTCAAGTGGCAGCACATTTGACCAGAATTCCGGGGAACTGCGTCCCTGTTGCCGGCGTTTGTGTCACGTTTCGGCGCTGGATCTTACTTGTGCGTAATGGCATTTGCGGACGGTGGGCACTCACGAATAGGCCCATATCCTGGATGTCTGCACAATGGTATGCACAATGATGTGGCTTCAACAAGCTGCACAATGGAATGGTGTTGCTCCTTTCGATTCGAATTCTCTTGGCGAGCAAATTCAAAGTAATTCATACAACTCATATAACTAGCTTGATGGCTCTGCGCTCAACGAAACCCAGGTTCAGGTCAGGGACTCCAAATATGGAAATGGGTTGAAGATCCCAAGCTCTCGACGGAGAAGCGCCAAAAACCATTGACTGTTGGTTCTACCAACACAGTTATGATGATTTCAATGGGCTTTACTACAATCCCTACTAAGTCAGATGCGGCTCAATTGAAGGATCCTTGCACTCATCGGGCCATCGGAAGGTCCAGGCAAGACAAACTGCAGGGCTTTCAAAAAATTGCAGTGTTTGCAGCACTTGGCTTTGTCTTGTCACCCCTAAACCCATCCCTTCGAGACCGTGGCATGAGCGCGGCCAAAATGCTGCAAGTAAATAAGCACGGAAAACGTCTTTAGAATAAGCGCGGAGAAGCCAGGTCACTAGCTGCAGAAAAAAAAAGACGGCAAAAACCACGGGAAGACTACTGGAGGACGGGAAGAGAACGGAAAACTGCAGAAAGTCTACGGGAAGAGGACGGGAAGACTTCGGGCACGACCGGTTATGGCGCGCAGGTCTTCCCAAAAGCTTCCCACAAGGGCTTCCAGAAGCTTTTCCGGAAACCGTGCTCCGATCTTATCCACGCTTATCAACGATAAACCGTTCATGAATAATTAGTCTCCATCCCTTCCCGCCTCGCTTTCCATCCATTCCTTTCCACTTTTTCCACTTCCACAGCCGATGCCATTGCTTGCCCGAGATTCGGGGGCCTGGCGTCCTGGACCGGTCTCGGGCGCCGAAGTCTGCCATCGATTAGCTCCGTGTGACGGACCCGTGGGGAAGGCTACGACTGAGACCCAAGGCGGCGAGGAACTGGTCGGCGGACTGGGCAAAAGGATCCAAGAAAAAGCCTCGCAGATGTGCGTCTGTTCCTGGGGCTCCCCCAATGTCTCTATGTCTCTTGAGACAAACATAGCACAGCTGAACAGAACGGCAACCAAGAAGCTTGGTGGCAACATCAAGGGATCGAATCACACAAGCTGTACAATCCAGTTTAGAGGCTCGGGAAAAGATCCCAAGGAAGAAATCCGTTCACAAGCCCAGCAGAAAGCTGCATAAGACTTGGGCAATAAGGCTCCTCCAACCCCCACCTCCGTATATGTTGCAACCTCGCAGAGGCATTCAGGGATGCTCATCAAAAGCTGAGGGCCAGGGCGGCGGCCGCTGCCACCACCTGATTCCCGACGCTCCCCGGTGCCGCTGGGCTGTCGCTCCGGGCTCGTCTTTCGCCAGGCTACCCCTGGATTTGCTTGCTGTCCAGGAAACCACAGGTCACAGTTTTGGGAGCATCTTGACCTCTTCGGGTACCAATAAAAAACCGCCTGGAAGCTCTGAGCGACTCATGATCAAAAGCTGGGGAATGAATCGGGGGTCAATGAGGCGCAGCAGGGCCTGCGTGCACACCGCCGCTAGTCGCTGCTTGTGCGTCTATGTACTTTTTCAATCAGGCACTCGTTGGTTAGGGGCCTCAAGCTTTGCCGTATACCACTGCCCACACCAAACGGCCACCCATCCAGTCTGTCCTTCCAGACATGCAGCAGCTGGTGAAAAAGGGTGCTGGCCGGTGATTGAAAAGAACCCCAGGTCAGGCTTCTCGAACTTAAGAGAATACATTAGCCCTTTCCCGCTCCAACAAACAGGTTGCGACCCGTTAGGAATCAACACGGGTTCACAAATAGTTTGCGGTGTAAGCCTCCAGGGAGCCATGGAGGGCCTAGGACAGGGCTCGGGAGAAAATGGAGGTCCCTTTGAACCCTTTTCAACTACGCGAAACCAAACGGAAAGCCAACTTCTTGGGTCCAAAGCGCATAGCCAGTTTCTCTGGGCGCCCACGCGGATGCGGGCACCTCCCGGGGCACTGGCTTCGCCTTCTCCGTGCTGCCCCGGGGGCCAGTGGCCTCACGCGCAAAAGGCAAGGTGAGGGTTGGGTTGGGTTGGGTTTGGTGGATAGAGGGAGGGAGGAGGGAGGAATGGATGTAGGAATTGTTGGATGGACGACGGACGACGGACGGATGGATGGATGGATGGATGGATGGGTGGGTGGGTGGATGGCTGGATGACTGGATCGCTGGATGGCTAGATGGCTGGTTGGTTCACTGGTTGGTTGGTTGGTTGCTTCGTTCGTTCTTTGGATGGTTGGAATGGTGGGATGGTTTGATGGCTGGCTGGATCGATGGTTTGCTGATTCGCTGGTTCGCGGGTTGGCTGGCTGGTTGGTTGGTTGGTCGGTCGGTCGGTGGTTGGTTCGTTCATTGGACGGTTGGACGGAAGGTACCCAGGGGGGATGGGGTGGAATTCGTGGTGGGGGGGGTGCTTGTCATTTGTGTCGTCCCTTACACGCTTGCTTTGGTTGTTATCAATCATGCCTTGCACATCTCATAGCTTTCTTCCGCTTCTTCAGGCTCTTCGCAAAGTTTCGTATCTGTACCAAGGAGCTTTTGCTGGGCTGATAGACCCTCAGTACAGCAGATGGCTTCCGGTGTTGCAAGAGCCGGCTTTGCAAAAGCAGGTCACCAAACGGCAAGAATCTGGCTCGTCCTTCGGCCAGCATCTCGGTGGAACGTACAAAGGTTAAACGTAAACTGGTCGATCGCTAAGATGCACAATTCGACTTCCGCACTAGCTGGTTTTGCAGGTTTGCAGAACTGGTCACGGACCAGCCAGCATTCACCACAAGGCACGAAACAAAATTTGATTTAAAGGTGGTTAACATGTGTGGGCAAAGGAGTGGAAAGGAGACTGCGAAAAACGCGCGAAAGCACCGGCGCACAGGCGCCCTCAAAGAATTTCCGAGCTGAATGACAAGGAAAGCCCTGGGTCTCCAAGTCATAATGTTGAGACCTCATGCAATCGCTTGGGAGGCAGGGGAATGGACTGCGTGGGGTCCAGAAAACACTCAAGGTTTTTGAGGATTCCCTACAGTCATTGAATCTCTTCCGTCAGTGGCCTGTATTCAACAGCAGCTACACCCTCCACAAACCTTAGTCTAAAATGGTTGGGTGTCTCTCTTGCGTCTACCTCCAAGGTGTGTTGAGGGTTGTCAGCGAGTACGTACCCCATTCAGCATCGGCCGATCCCCGAAACTCCACGCAGGCAAGTCTGGCCAAACATGTGCAGTTCGCACCATGGAAAATAACCCAAAAACGACCTCATTTGCTGCATCGTCCCTCCCCACTCCCTACTGGCAGCCACTCCTGTCTATCATCAGTTTGGTGCGCGCGGTGCCGAAAATCCAAGCTCCATAACCCGAGTGGTTGGGGGGACACCCCAAACGCCTTCGTCTCATTTGCTCCCTGCAAATACAAAAATGAAATCCCCAACAGAAAGTTCCTCTAACAACTTCCCAGCTCCTTTCACTTCCCGTCCGCGGGCCTTTGGAATTGGCGCAGCGTGCAGTCCCTTGGCTGGGGTGTGCATGCTCAAAACTGGGCACGCCGGCGAGCCTTGACGCGGTGCAGTTGAACGACTTTCTTGTAGATAAGCAACGGACTGCCTGGATATGGCCAGGGGAACCAAACAACTCTTCTGTTTGTGGGACTGGCCGATTCCGCATCACAGCGGAATTGCGCATGCTTCGATGTAAACTGCCATGATCAGGGCATCAGTAGTAGTTGTAGATGTGAGGCAGTAGATTCCGAAAGTCCGGCCAGACGGCTCCAGTTGGCCCACAACCGCTGTCTAGCAAGGAGGATGTCGATAGACGAAAAAGAGCGGTCCATCTGCACCTTGTCCCACTGTGACCCTCCGGAAGCTGGGATGAAACAGCCAGCCCAGTCCAGCCATGAGCAGAAGGGGCGCCCACATAAATCACCTTGATCAGGGCACCAGTACCATTTCTCCTTACCAAAAAAGAAACACACACACACACACACACCGGGCGGAACCCTTTGTCACCCAGGCATGAGCACCAAGATCTTTGCTGAAACATCGGATCTCTGTTGGCGGAACTCTGCGGTGATGCAATGCTATGGAACCAAAACAAAGACAAACTGTTGCGTGTTTCAACGCGGAACACTCTCAGTGGTTGGTGGGCATAAACCATTTAGATGTTTAGATGATGTCCGAAGGGCCCCGGAAATGCATTGCAAAGTCCACTGGTCCCGGTCCCGGCCAAAGCATCGACCTTGGGGCTCCCGGCATCATCGCCCCGGTACACCGAGGAAAGCGGGAACTTCCCAGCCTCCCCAGGCGAGGCAAGCAATCCTATGGCCAGGAAAAGCCGGCTTTGACCATTGGGACTCGACCGGTTGGAAGCCCAAAAAGCCGCCCGCAAGACCAACCCGGTTGCTTGACTTATTCAAGCTGTTATGCCCAACGGTTGCTGTAAAACCTCAAACCTCAAACTTGCGGTTCCCAAAACATGGAACCGCGGGCAACCACTGTCCTCACGAGATGCTTTGGGTTCCATAGTAGAGCACAGGAAGGTATATTGAAAGCACGCGGCTTTCGAACATCCTCAAAATCTCCAAGGGAGCATGCCAAACTTAGCTCATTCCGAATCGGCAACCCAACTTCTCAATTCACGAGAGTCGACATGTCACTCATGCAAATGTCAAATCAAAAAACAACGTGCAACTTGATCGCATGTGACTGCAGAATGCAGGTTGCGCTTAAATCCGGGGGAGCCGCGTTCTACTGGTTGACTCCTTTTGAGCTTCCCTCGAAACACAATCCAAAAGAGTCAATTGTTGGGCATAACGGCATAACATAATTATTTCGTTTGCTACCCTAAGGCACACGAAAAGAAACCGTGCAATCTTGCCTGCATGGCTCCCCTGTTTCTCAGGCAAACCTACGTATTTGCAGGGTGGCCAAGACGAAAAGCGACGGAAGCCCGGCCACATGGCTGGATCCATGGACGTCCATCCACTCCCAGCCGCTTCCCGCAGCCTCGATGGCCAGCCGCAACTGCAGCGAGGCTTGGCCCGCCGCGCGGGTGAGGAGCTCCGCCTGCGGCGAGACTTTGGGGAGACGGCGAGATGAGAAGTCGAGGCGGCGCCATTTCTGTAAGGAACAAGAAAAAGATAGGGGAGAGAACAAAAAAAACACTCTGGCGTGCAGAGGCACTTGCCTGGGGCTAAGTTGAGTTTTGTTCCGGCTAGATGTTTGTATCGTTCGCCGCCGGACACCCACAAAGGAAAACAAATGTGAATTAATTGGCAGTTTCCTGCTTGAATACGGAGAATAGAGGCACTTGCTCAAGGAAGGGTGTGCCGTGTCTATCCCTTGCGGAATTCGTTTCCACAAGGGCAGCGCCCTCCAAGCACCGCATTCAGCAGCCCTAGGCATACTTAGATCACTGGTCAATGTACATGAAACCCAAAAGGGGTGCCCACAGAAAGTTTCCTCTACAATGATGGTTTTGAGGTTCCATATTCATCTGTGGGGCAAACATGCTCCGAAGCGCTTCAGTCGCCTCATGAACCCTCCGGAAGGCAACAAGCCGCATTTGTTTGGACAATCTCGCAACATGAGCCCTAAACAATATGAAACAATATGGGATGTTCCTGTTGAATCAAGGATAGAACAGCTCGTTGTAGTTGATTCAAGCAATCCCAAACTCAATCCGAGCAATGTCGCTCCCAAGAGGTAAAGAAAACCGCGCGTCGTCAAGCAAATGGCGGACACACTCCTTTTGAGCCTCGGGCAGCTTGAGCCAAGCCCAGGTGCGTTTCGAGGATTGGTACCTTTTGGAGAACTGAAACACATGACGCACGCAAACTGTCATGGTTGCAAAAGGAATGAAATTGATGGATGAAAGCTTTGCTTAAGCACAAGTTCATGAGTGTGTGAAACGGTGGGCAGACATTGTCTACCCTACACGTGACGATTCCTCCTAGCAAACTACACTCAAGGAATCCCTTCTCAGCTAAGCATGCCACACGAAGGCTACTGATCGGACATGTTTTGTAAGTGATGGTGCATCATTGGCATCGCACCCTGTCAAACATGCAAATTGCTCAGTATTCTTCAACTCCCCCTTTCCTGCGTGCTGGGAAGGAAGGTACTGCATATGCAGCATGTTCAAGGCAGCCGGCCATTTTGCTGGTTCAGCCAGTTGCTTCTCTGTAGCTATGTACCTCAATTGGACATGATCATCTTGCAAGACTTCATACACGGAACCTAAGTCTATCTTGTGAGTTTTTGACAAGTGCCTGAGCTTCGGCGAATACCCTGAGTGGGCGATTGCTACGACCGCTGAATTGTCTTGGTGACAAATCAGATCAATCGGCTTATTAGCAAGTATTTCGCACAACTCTTGGCGTCCAAAGAGATAATTCTGCTTCAGTTGTGGATCGTGACGATGCAGTTTGTCTGCGGCTTGCCCATGTCAATGGGAAGAATGAGTTTCGCCCTTGGAGGACCAGAACCATCCCGCTCGTCTTGATGCTCAGTCTCTGACGCATGGTGACATACAAGGGCATTTAAAGGCGTTCCTTTTTAAACCAATACGAAGACTGGAAGATATTGTCAAGGTGTTGACCTCCTAGTGATGCCATCACTTGCTTGAATTTAGCATCCCAGTGGAATCCGGCTTCTGGATGCCCGTACAAGCTACGGCGTAGCCTGACACAAGGCCGTTTGATATGTTGGAACTCCTTGGGCGTTCGTTCCATTTGAAATTCCACCCATGTAGGAACTTTAGCGAGCAAATCACTTTGGCCTGCACAACGTCTGACATTTGAGAAACATTCCCTTCACAAGATCCATAAGACAAATTTACATTTATCCCAGTCAAACCTGTGGGGCTAACCTTGACACCCTGTAAGACCGCTAGGTTATTAGATTCATCCCGAATGTCATCACCTCGAAAAACAATTCTGGCTTTCAGCCGTCTAAGTTCCGGGTTTCAAAGTGCTTGATTGAAAGAATGGTCATGAGTCTGCCAATGTTTTTCTGGCAAGCAAAACATCTCTTGGAACCACTTCATCGTAGGACCAAGTTTGGTTCGCTATCAAACCGTCAGTGGCTGCTTGATAACCCGCATGCTTCTGCCAATCTCGCCTATCTACCAAGTGATGCGCGCCTAGCAATTTTCGTCAGGTCCAGTACTTAGCAGTGCGTGGAATACACAGCTCAGAAGACACATGAAATAAACATGTAACAAATGGCTCAAATAGCAGCAGCTCACCAAATGGAAAGCTGACAATCTCAAACTGCAAGGCTGGTGAATACTGCTCTGGAACACACACTCCCGGCGGTCCCAAATGTTTAATATTGAAGATTCTTGAAGAATAGTTTCATCTTAAAAATGTTGCAAGAATCTTAAAATCTTCAAAAATCTGTAAAAATCTTAAAAATCTTTAAAAAAACCTTAAAAATCTTAAAACTCTTAAACTTCAAAAAAGGAACAACTTGACAAACTGTTGATCAAACTTTTAGAGCCGAGCCGTGGTAATTCAAAAAGTTGAAACTGAGGCTATACAAGCAGAAAAGAAAACATAAAACAAATGCTTTTCTTGAAACACTCAAAACACATAATCCAAACCTGCAAACAGTTGGCCCTTAAAGCTTCAAAACCAAAAACACCAAAACCAAACTTAGGTTATACAAACATTGACACATACCGTGATCATGGCTTCGCGAAAAAGAACAAACATCTTGACAACGTGTGAGTCTCAAATTCTGGCGCGCGCACAAACACTGGAGCAGTCAAGACACATATGTCTGAAAACGCAAAACATGTGTCAGCTGCGCCAAAAGCTGGATTGTTTTGGCTCTTGCTCAGGGTCACCCAAGTGAAGATTGCTCTGGCGCATGTAGCTTTGCTGCACTGCCATTGCAGTGAAACCCACAACTACTTTTTGCCAACCCCATTACCCGCTTGTGAAAGAAAAGGCGCCAGAAAAGGCGCCAGACAAGGCGCCAGGGCGCCGAGCTGTATGTTCTGACTCACGGCCAGGCGGCAAAGCTAGCAAACAAAAAAACAAGCAATAAACATTAGTTCTGTGAAAACAGTTTTGAACCTTCGCAAATGCCGCAAAACCATTGCCATCCTAGCCAGCCATGAGGGCTCAATGCGGCGGCTTGGGCCTGGGCTTGAACTTCTTCTGCGGCTGCGGCGGCGTCTCGTTCGGCTTCGCGAAGTCGTCTGCTTCTGTTGCTTGTTCTGTTCTTCTGTTACTTGCAGGGTGAAGTCCTTGAAGGTAAACAGAAGGCTCGACATGGGCAAGGGTCTTTGTTTGATTATGTCTTGTTCCTCGCTTGAAGACTTGGATTTCCTGCCACAGCTATGCAACGTGCGTGATAAGGCTGAAGATGCCCTTCAAACATGGTTGCTGTATCGTCTTGTTTGCTCCTGTCTACGCAACTTCTCTAAGTCCGGGCGCCCAAGCGCCGGCAGCAAAAAAGGCTCAAGTCTCAAGGGCCTCAAGCTCGGCTCGCAACAAAGTGCTCGCAAAACAAAAGCATTGACAAACGCCAAACAAAGACGCTAGCAAGCGCCGAACAGAAGCGCTGACAAGCGCCAAATGAAAAAGCGCTGACGAGCGCCAGACAAAAGCGCTCACGAGCGCCGAACAGAAGCGCTGACGAGCGCCCGTAACGAAAGCGCTGACAAGCGCCAAACGAAAAAGCGCTGACAAGCGCCGAACGAAAGCGCTGACAAGCGCCAAACGAAAAAGCGCTGACAAGCGCCAAACAAAAGCGCTGACAAGCGCCAAACGAAAGCGCTGACAAGCGCCAAACAAAAAAGCGCTGACAAGCGCCAAACAAAAGCGCTGACAAGCGCCAAACGAAAGCGCTGACAAGCGCCGAACAGAAGCGCTGAGAAGCGCCAAACAAAAGCGCTGACAAGCGCCTGACGAGCGCCAAACAAAAGCGCTGACGAGCGCCAAACACAAGCGCTGACGAGCGCAAAAAAAAAGCGCTGACAAGCGCCAAACAAAAGCGCTGACAAGCGCCGAACAAATGCGCTGACCAGCGCCAGACAAAAGCGCTGACGTGCGCCAGACGAAAGCAATGACAAGCGCCAAGAAATGAAATGTTTGACAAAAGCGCTGCAAAACCGCGCGCTGACAACAAAATCACTTACAAGCGGAGCTGCGGATAAGCAAATGAGCCAACAACGGTCAAGTAAGAAGTGAAGAATCGAGCAAAGTCGAGCAGAGTCGAGCAGAGTCGAGCAAAACCGGCAGGGCCCAGAATGAAGTCGAGGAGAGTCGAGCAAGTACGCCCAGCCCGCCACCAGGAAGCCAGCAAACAACATTTGACCAAACGTATCGAAAATGGTTCACACAACCATGATTTTGCTGATTTAGTGCAATTTGCAAGAAGCAAAGTGTTTCAATGGAAATCTCACCGCCTACATGCTCCCAAAAGAAAAATGACACAGCTGCAAAGAAAACAAGCGCTTTTGCCACGGCATCGCCACGCACATAAATGCAACAAATGCTCAACTGCTAGAAGAGGATGAACTGCTGACACTGCTGCCATCAGCTGCATCTGAGGAAGCAGAGCTTTTGGCCTTTGGCCCAACCTTTCTTCGCTTTGCGGCTGGCTCAGCTGGTCGAACGGAAGTGGAATCTGGCTCACTTTCGTAATCGCTGGGCAGCTTGTTTGCATCAATCTCAGCTTCAGCAAATTCGCTGCCATCCTCTCGAAAATTGCATTCGGCCCGCATATGCGCCTCGCGGGTACTGTACTCCAAGCAGGCGTTACACCAAGCCTTAAGCTGCAGCAACACTGCTTGCTCATCTTCGAATGTTTTGAAAACTCTTGAGCGTGTGCATTTGGTGCTTTTGCCGCTCAAATGTGCGACACAGTCCTCGGGCACGTGGCCTGCCAAGTCCGTGGCTCCTTGAAAGTCATCAAACAAGGTCCGTAGCGAAATGTTTTCGCGTGTGTCTTGCGGGTTCTTGGCGCAGACACAGCCACCACCTCCGCAGTTTGTCGGGCTTCCAGAGTCTGAGCGTCTGCGCCAGCTGCCGGTTGCCTGTCTTCCAGAACCGGAGTGTCTGCGCCAGCTGCCGGCTGCCTGTCGCACAGTTCCCTGCCGCCCTCCACGGGAGCAAGTGCTTTGACAGCAGCTCGGAGTCGTCTTTGCGCTGGCTGACTATCGACTGGCTTGGAGCCACTGTCGTCAACGATTTCCAAAGTCTGAGTCTGACTGTGCCTGCGGACAGCTTGTGGGTACAAGAGAGCTCGGTAGTAATCTGATTGCTGCAAATGCGAAAACTGCCGAACGCCCTGCTGAGCAAGTTTTGAAGCGCTGAGCAGAGCCACAAGGTACAGGCGACAGATGGAGCATTTTGCACTGTCACGCAAATACCACAACTTTGGCTCACAGGAAAGCACATCAAAGTGAGGCGGGTTCTTGCGGTCTTGCTCCGACGCTATCCTCATAGTAAAACCAAGCTCCCGCAGTCTCAGCATCAGCTCCAGAATGGTGAGATCATTGGCGTCGCGCTCGCTGCCTGGCAGCCGAGTCAAAGCACGTGGGTTTGTCAACACGTGGGTTTGTCGCTATCTTCCCAACTCTGCCAGCAGGTTGCTCAAGTTGTCAAGATTGCCGTGAACGCGAAGCGGGTCTCATAATGCGCAATAAAGTCCTCGATCAGGTTCCTGCGTGTTGATTCCGCGTGCAAATGTGAGATACAAACGGCTGTCAAGTCAGGGCAACGATGCTCCAAATCAAGCAGCACAGTTGTATTCAATGGCAACCCTTGCTGAACGTCCGCGCGCCTGTGCCAATTCAAGCACTGGTCACAGTCGCAGAACACAATAGGTCCCTTGAGGGCCTCAGAACCAGCTTGTCCCCTCAACCCAGGTCGTACCCAGCCTCGGCCTTCGCGTAATGCCTAGCCCGGTCCGGCAGGTTGATCTGAGGCCGGAACGGCTATGACTCCTCCGCCCTCTTTCTTTTAAGCTGCGATTTCTGGCGTTCGGCGTTCTTGAGCTGCCCGCTCCAAAGCTGCTCGGACAAAGACGTTCTGATTGTCCTCGGCCTTCAAGAATCGATACTTCTCAGGGTCTTGCACACGAAGAGTCCTATCGATATACTCCTGTCTTGCTTCCTCAGTCGGCTGTTTGGCCCCCCCCGCCCCCTTCTGTGGGGATCCTGAATACGGATTTGGCAGGGAGCTTGGATGACTTGAGTCTTGCTTTAGTATTGCCACTACTTAGTTTAGTATTGCCAGCACTTCCTTTTTGGTTGCCACTACTTAGTTTAGTATTGCCAGCACTTCCTGTTAGGTTGCCACTACTTAGTTTTAGTATTGCCAGCACTTCCTTTTGGGTTGCCACTACTTAGTTTAGTATTGCCAGCGCTTCCTGTTGGGTTGCCGCTACTTAGTTTAGTATTGCCAGCACTTCCTTTTGGGCTGCCACTACCTTGGTTTAGTATTGCTAGCACTTCCTTTTGGATTTCTAACCCACCCTTGTTTTTGGATGGATTTAAGTAAAGATTTTTGATGGTTGGGGCTTGGGAGCAAATCAGGAATTCTTAGGCTCAGGTCTTGGCCTGGTCCCTGGCTAGGCTTTTAGATTTGGAGCCCCTTTTAAAACAAGAGGCTAAGATCTGACCTGGGGATCCCACCCAATTCTAAGACTGGACATTAAACATGGTACCCAAACAGTGCCCCCTTAAAGTGGATAAGGCCCCCTTGTGGGCAACCCCCTTTGCAGGACTGTTTGGGGCTTGTTTTTGGATGGATTTAAGTAAAGATTTTTGATGGTTGGGGCTTGGGATCAAATCAGGAATTCTTAGGCTCAGGTCTTGGCCTGGTCCCTTGCTAAGCTTTTGAGTCAGATTTTGTTCAACGGGATTTTTTTGGGTTCGAACTTGACAGAAATCATGGTACCGAAGTTTAAGCCGGGGAAACTTGACATAATTCAAACTACCGATATTAAACCAGGTGCAACATTAAGGCCCGCCCACTCCTTCGGTGGCTCTCGTACAGCAGCTACAGGTTCTGGTTCCGGTAACCTGAATGATCGCACTTCAAAAGTGTTCCTTGGGGCGACAGTCCCGGCTGTTGAAGAAGATGCAGATGCGGAATGCGATTCTTCAGCGACTGTGGGCACTGAGTAATACAACTCCACCGGCAGGTTCAAGTGCTTAATTCGATCAAGTAGAATTACTTTACGATCCGAGTCCCACGCTGCCAAGACTTGCCTCAGTATTGTCGCCTTCTGACTTGCGCCCCTCTTACCAGATCTTTGCTACTTGAACAGCTCCCACAAATTGTCCGGAATGGGGAGGTTCGCCTTCACAATCCAGTACCAGCTAAGAGCCGCTTACGGCTGATAACCTGTTGAATCAAGGATAGAACAGCTCGTTGTAGTTGATTCAAGCAATCCCAAACTCGATCCAAGTAATGTCGCTACCAAGAGGTAAAGAATACTGCGCGTCGTCAAGCAAATGGCGGACGCACTCCTTTTGACCCTCGGGCAGCTTGAGCCAAGCCCAGGTGCGTTTGGAGGATTGGTACCTTTTGGAGAACTGAAACACATGACACATGCAAACTGTCATGGCTGCAAAAGGAATGAAATTGATGGATGAAAGCTTTGCTTAACCACGAGTTCATGAGTATGTGAAACGGTGGACAGACAACGTCTACCTTACACATGACGATTCCTCCTAGCAAACGACACTCAAAGAATCCCTTCTCAGCTAAGCATGCCACATGAAGGCTACTGATCGGACATGTTTTGTAAGTGATGGTGCATCATTGGCATCGCACCCTGTCAAACATGCATATTGCTCAGTATTCTTCAACTGGTTTTGAGGTTCCATGTTCATCTGTGGGGGCAAAAATGCTCCGAAGCGCTTCAGTCGCCTCATGAACCCTCCGGAAGGCAACAAGCCGCATTTGTTTGGACAATCTCGCAACATGAGCCCTAAACAATATGGGATGTTTCTAGACTAATTCGAGCCGCTCCCCACATGTGTTCCCCAAACGAACCGCTGTTTATTGGCTTCATGTTTCCCTTCGAACTGAAACACTGCGCGGCATTCACTGTTTTGCACCCGTCGTTTGACGCGAACTTTTTGCGCCCAAATACTGTTGCTGGTTCTCAGGAGGGAAACAGCTTGCGGACATTGCCTCATTCCATGCGAGCCAATGAACATGGAAAAAACCTTGAGGAAACCACCAGTTGGGGAGAACCACAACTTTTCTCCAACAGGATGTGCCTCTTTCAAATACGTTTCGTGTTTGGTTTGCATAGAGGAAACCACCAGGATGGTTCACTCCGGGGCCAACTCAGCCGCCCGCCGCTTCGTAGCCCGCCGCCGCCGCGCTCAGGAGCTCGCCGCCCATGGCGCGAATTGCCGGGGGAAGCCCCTTAAAATGGGAGGTTTCCTTTGGCATCCTTTGGAATCCCTTTGGCAAAATGGCTGGGTTCTCTTTCATTTCTCTGTCATCTGCGGCTCCCTTGTTGTTTGCTTTGATGCTTGTATGGTTCTTCCTCTTGTGCTGGTCTTGCATTTGATACATGGATGTTAACAAGACCAAACAGGTTCCGGTTCCAAACAGATTAAACGCCAGGTTTTTTGGGCTAACAACTTGATGAAAGCTCTGCCTTTCATGGTCCGTCCTCTATCAAGTCGAGACTAGCGTCAGGGGAGATCTGCTTCTGGTTGTTGCCGAAGCTTTGTGAAGCTGCGTTGTCTCAGCCGCCGCTGCGTCCAAGTACGCGCACCACCCAAGTCGATGCTCGGTTTACATTCGCCGCTCAAGTCGACCTCTGCCCCGCAAGGTTTTGAAGGGGCCGGCGAAAGCGGCCAAACAGCCAGATGAGATCCTTTTCTGCAAGTGGACCCATTCCACGGATCACGGGTTCTAACAGGTAGCGGTTCCGATCGCTTGCACCAAAGGACCATCCTGCGTGTCAAACCTTGGGATCTGTAAAGTTCAGAGTCCGCGCGCGGCTTTTCCCACAGAGGCCTGTACAAGTGCCTCACACCTGTCTTCAGTGAAACACGGGCGCGACCCGAAGCGTACACTCTCGTCTGTTGGCGCAACGCTCAATGCATACACGCTTGCAATGGCCGGTGAGAGAACAGGAGCTTGATGCGTGTGGAGCAGGGGCCAATGCAAGACGAACAGGCACCCTCAGCGCGTCAACACTGCCATATCAAATTCTTGTGTGAGACATGCTGACTTGAAATCCACGGACACCGTGTATCAGTCTGCCTCATCGATCCTGCATACACATTCAGCACACGATAGCACCTGCACTGTAAACACGATGAATGCCTGAGCACTTGGGGCCCAGAGATGCCTTTACTAAGTATAGCCTTTTGCTTTACAACAACAAAACTTTTTGCTGATCTGCGGTTATCTGTGGAGGCCGATGGACCACCGATGGACCACCTCTTTGTGTGTCCAATCTCCGTTGCCTCCCCTCCAAAACCAAATGTGCCAGCCCAGCTCTCTGATGGCACGCTCTCGTACCAGCCTAATCCTCGCCATTCCAAAGCATAAAGCATCACCCCACAAGGAAAGTGGCTTTATATTGGCACAGGCGATAACCAAAACCACCAAACGCGAGAAAATGAGAGCCCGGCCACGAGCGGCAACCCCTCGCCGCACCTCCGGCGCTTCCTGCAAGGGAAGATGGCCGAGGAGATGTGCCTCAGCACATTCGATTCGAACAGATCCGCAAGTGCTCGGGCAAACAGCAAAGGAAGGGTTCTCAAATTTGTGATTCGACCCTCTTTTTGGTGTTTGAAGGGAAACCATAAGAAAACCCGTAGCACTACTTGGAGAACTTCCGAATAAATCCTCAAAGCGCCACTTTCCGTTCGGGTCACCGACTGTTCAAAGTAATGAGAAGGCCCCATAAGATTGCTTGGATTGACGGCTCGCTGCATGCTAGACGCATCCCGACAGACTCCCCACTGATAAGAAGTCGGGTCAGCTCAGTTGGATCGCTGCAAGTGAACCTGACGGCCAGCCAACACTCGGCGCTGCAGATTCAAATCAACAAAACCAATGTGACATCCTGGGAAACTAGCACAACAAGAGCAAGTCAAATAAGCTCCAAGGCCATCTCACTCAAAGCCCCCGTCTTCCGCGGCATTGCGTGTGTTCCTTGGTCCCTTTGGGACTGTGGATGAAATCCTGCACCCTCGATGGATGAAACCCTCTGAGCAATGGGACTAGCCTGTGAACTACAACATCTCGTGCATCAAGAGTAGATAGGGGAACCCCCAACAAATGTGGTTTTCCTTTTGGTTCTCGTCGAACCAACCTGCAAAAGCCTCAACCCATAAATCCAAACTAAGCTCCCCACCCTGGCACCGGCTCTGGGGTCTTGAGACTCTCCTGGCGCCTTTTTCCCTTTTCCTTTCCTTTTAGAACCAACCCAAAAAGGGTACCCCCGAAAAAGAACACCCATTTTCTCGCATATTGTATCACCCGCCAAGCGTTGCTTATCATCGTTCGAGCGACAGTAGCAAGTGGGCAAAGAAGTGGGGCGGGAGTTGCAAAGGCAACAGCTGAAGAGAGGCCCTCGCCCGGGTCTGTGCCCAGTCAGGGATGAGAATATTAAAACCGTTATATTTGACGCACACGGGCATAGGCACATTTCACCTAGCAGGTTCTGTCCATAGCATACCAAGTGTAAACATCTGCTTTATCCATCAACCGACAAACTGAGTGGAAGGCAGCCTCAAATCACACCGTAACCGTGCGTCCCAGTCCTAGATTCCCATAATGTAAGGGGCTAAAGAAGTACACACTCAAAGTACCCAGGTCACCCCATTCTAATCACCCCTTAGGTGGGCCATACTAAAAACCTGAGTATTCGGTTCAGGGCTTTGCCTGAAACCAGGTAAAGAATCCAACGAGCGGCTTATCTAGTTGGCACTGCTGACCTTCACTCAGGATTTGATTGGGCTGAGTGCGAACTGGGTTGGTCTTAGACCCCCGACGAAACGTGAAAGTGTGTGGATCTGTGTGGATGGTGCCCTTTCCAAAAGATCAAAAGGTTTAAGTGATTATCCTCCCATCCGCCAACTCTGACTAGTCAACATTACTGTTTGCCCATCATATTGCTCCACTTCTCAGATGCTCCTTGGAGAGCGTCACGCCCCCCACGGTGGACAAGAGCTGCGGCACCTCCGAAAGTTCGGCTTGGGTCGGAGTTTCTCACACCGCATTGGGGCTAAAACCCTAAAACGAGCCAAGGCAAACCCTCGTCGAATGGCCTGGAAAAACGAGGTTGGGACCATGCAAAAAGGGGAAACATAGCAACCGGGGGCCGGCAAGTGGGACTCTCTGAGACACCTGGGCAAAAATGGGGGGAGCACATGCCAGCCGAAGATGATACACCTGTTGAGGTGATTAAAAATTTGCTGTGTACTGGACTACTTCAGTAATTGAGGACCCAAAAAATATACAACAAAAACGGCCCGTTGGATCCTACGTCAATGTTCCTTCTGAAAGTGTTCTGGACCGTCTAGGGATTTGAGCAACGCTTTAAGGGGCCGAGCATCACTGCGGGTGGACGAAATGTCGCTAGCAGGTGGTTTGCCCCAGTATTTCTCCCATCCCAACTCAGGCGAAGCAGATTTTGTCCGTCCACATCACCACCTTGCACAACAGAGCTGCCCCCAGCTATACATGGTTTGGTGCACAGGAGCCCTGCCTCCCAAAAGGGCTCCGCCAAACGTTTGGGGGTAAGCCGCGTAGCCTCTTCCCCGATCTCGATGTCGCCTCCCTCTCGAGCACCGCGTCCAAGCGCCGCAGCTCTCCCATGTCCAGGCTGGGCAGCCGGAGCAAGCCTTGCGCTTCAGCTTTGCAAAAGACCCCAAATTCCAAGGTCATGAGATGGTCATGAGGTGTGCGTCAGCCATTGAAGCCACACACCCCTAACACGCTACTAAACCCGCCAACAAAAATCAACAAAACACGGCATGTCAACATAGGCTCCTTGGCGTCCAAGTATATACCTCGCCAACCAACATCAGCTGAGTCGCAATTTGCATTGTCCACTGTATGCTTCTTGGTTATCCGGAATCGGAAGGGGACCGATTCCAGGGATTCAACCAAGGTCCGCCTGGTAGAAAATCAGTTGACTCTACCCAAGACCATGAAAAGAGCTAAGAAAGCTATTTACAGCTGCACCCCCGGTTGAACGCGGGAAAGGCCAAGCTTCGGAAAGTCAAGGATCCAAGTGGCTTCTGCTCTGAGAACCGTGCCCTCAAACTCGCGCAGCCTCTGTCTGAGGACCTCGAGGGACACTTCGCGGTTTTGAAGGCGTTTTGAAGGCGCTTTGAGGGCGTTTTGAAGCCGTGCCAGGGTGTTTCTTCGATACACGAGTTGGACACAAGCGCCGGCGTAAGACAAACACATGTTTGTGTTCCCGAGACCCAGGTGGTGTTGGGGCCACAACTCGGCCAACTAAAGCATTACCAGCCCGAGCGAATTGCCACCAAACACCGTCTGGAAACACGCAGGGAGAAACAGTGGAGCAATTCAAACACTTCTAAAACAAAGGAGAAACCAAACAACTTTAGTAACAAGAAATATCTCCAAGCTAAACAAACCATCCCAGCCATTTGGAAGCCCTTTCGCTCGCACGCCTTCTGCCGCTTGCAGTGTATGTCGTGTCAAAATAGGGGGACCCCTGAGGAACCCCAAAATGGAGGTTTCCCTGTGGGGAACCAACTCCGAAAACACAAACCAACCTATGGGGAACCAACTCCAGACACACACACACACAAACAATCACAGCTCCAAACTACGCCACCCATGCTTCCGCTCGCGACCCGCGCGCGCCTCCACTTTGGGCATGTCTCCCGGGCTCAGGTGGTGCACTCGCTGCGCCTCCCAGGTGCGGCGAGCGGGAACCGGGGGTCTTCAAAGGAAGGCTCCAGGAAGAGTCCCGAATATTTCAAGGAAGGAAGGAAGGAAGGAAGGAAAACGGTGACAGTAAGGTGACAGCATGTATGCGTGCCACTATGATACAAGCAAGTGGTACTGCTCAGGAGGGTCGCATCACTTTCAATTTTATTAGGCCGAAGCAAAAAAAAAAAAACCATGTTCGGCCGCGTCTTGAGCAGTCTTGTGCCCTCGTGGCAACACTTTAAAAGCCAACCAGGAGCTAGTGGTCTCTTGACCTTGTAGAACTTCTATGTGCTGCCTTTAAGCCCAAAACAGCTGCAAACCTTGTGGGAAGACCTGGCGCCTGGCCCGAAGGTGAATGGTGCGTGAAACCAACTGATATGTTTGCGCTGATTCAACAGAGATACGTTTAAAGCAGGAAGAAGATGCGATGACGGCGCAAGTGAAATCTATCTTATTCCACTTGT